ACTTTAGTAGCCCTAAAGATTAATCTAAATTTATCTATAGAAATAAATATGTCTGCTTGAAAGAATGAAGAATATGGTAAACAAGTTGCTATAAAGAATGCATAATTAGCCTATATAACCATTGGTATTTCATTAAAAAGAAGACCATGTTCTTGTTCTTTATGAGAAGTGGTTTTATTTAATTTTAACATAAAGGCATGTTGTGTCACCGCAGTTAAATTGTTGTCTATCATGATAAAACCTTAATATCAAACCTATATAATGAGTTTGGACATTTTAGAGAAATGCTTAATAAATGCATTACACTGTAACTAAACCCATTATATTTTAGCTGACTAAGTTTACTGTAGATTTAGTCGACTAAAATTGTATATTTAGTCGACTAAAACTAGACTAAAACTAAATGGCATTTTAGTCAAAAGACTATGACTAAAACTAAATTAAAATTTGCTGTCAAAATTAACACTGCCCTGAACACATATATGACAATAACAGCTCTGTCGTTGGTCTCAGTTGTTGGACACACACAGCACCAGCTTCAGCTGAGCTCATCTGCTCCTCTTGTTTTATCTCAGATTGGTGTGTCATAGGGTTTAGCTAGTCAGAGCTGTAATCCGAACATCTCCACCTATCAACAAGATGCAGAAAAAAAAAAACACATCCAATTCAAATTTAGCAGCAACAACTGCTATGTGAGATGTTTGTTTCTGAATTACACGTTTCCCAAAGGGCATTATGGGAAGAACTTGATATCCAGTGTCAGATAAATTCTGTTTATGTTTGACTTCCATAGAAACAGCTGATGGAGGAGACATTCCACAATCCGTTAATCCATAAAATCAACACTGACCCATTGAATAATGACAGCATATTCCATGAATGAATGTCCAGACCTGCATGATCTGACCAGGGGGAATTTATCAGTGGTATTAGTTTATGTAAATGCATTGTTGTAGTTGGATCTCAGACAGTTTCTGTGATGTGCTTTTAAAGGAATAGTTCATCTAGAAATGAAAATTGACGTTGTTTAATCATGCACATGATACTCCAAACCCATTTGACATGCAAAAGTGCAAAAGGAAATGTTTAGCTGAATGTTCATGCTGCTCTCTTCCTTACAGTGAAAGCATACTAGTCCAGTGTTAGTATTATTCGCTAAAATTATTACAAATAATTTTTGTTGATTGAAATAAAGCTGAAATTAAATATTAACTGAAATGTTGCCTTGGTGACTAACTGCAATAAATGAGTTAACATATGTACAATAAGTTGGCATACTAAAATTGTAAACACTAAAACTGAAAAAAATAAAGCTATATATATAATGACAATTACTACATAAAATTACTAAAACTTAAAATTTAAACGAAATAAAATAAAATGAGGTCATTTAAATGTTTTAAATATTTAAAAATATTTAAATATTAAAACCTATAGCATAATACTAAAATTAAATATAAACAATTATAATAGTATTAAAATATATTAAAATAGCACTGTCTGACAACATGGTGATTTTATTATTATTATTATATTATTTTTAATTATTAAAAGCAGTGTCATTCTATGCATTTCATAATTACTAGAGGATTTAAACTGTAGCAAAAAATATTAGTTTGAGATGTTGAAATTGAAATAGGTTGTTTCAAGGAATTCACATTCAACACACACAATTGTTCATGCATATTCTCTTTGCAAAAACAAATATCAGTCATATAAAAGATTTTGATGAATAGTATAGGCTATTATTGCTGTTCATAACAATTTATTTATATTTGTGCAAATTAATTCTTGTGTCCATGTGGCTGCTTGTCAAAATGATGGTTTACTAATTAAAAAATACCACTCTTTTAAGCCATCCAGAGCAAATAGCCCTATAAATACTGAGACATACTGAATTGTAAATAGCTGAAAAATATTAAGAGAGAATGGGTTTAGTTGTCAGTCACCCAACCCTAATATCAATCTCTTTAGTCAAACCCTGTCTGCAAACAGTAAGAAAGGGCTTCTATGTGGAGGCATTGGTCAAGCATTTCCATCTGCTTTGTTTAGGCTGCCGTTTGTCCTTGTGCACAAAGCATGCTCATTTTCATACAGCTCCGTGTGTAACAGTCAACTCTGTGCCCCTCACGAAGCACATTCTGTTCTAGTTTCACAGGATCGGCCCCTGTGCAAAGCAAAGTACGGACCCCTTTCAAGAGGCAGGCACTTACAACTAAACAGTTGAACTTCAGCTTCCCAGAAGATGGGTTTATTGCTTAATGGTTGTGTGCAAAAATGTTTGCATGTAACAGTATCATGCAATGTCACCAATGTGCCAAGTTATGTTCCCTGCTTTTGGTTGAAAGTGTCAAACAGGAGTGCAATGACGAAATGACTGAGATTGATTTGAGTGTTAAAGCTTTGAACCACATGGCAGTTCTTTAAAATCATTCATGCTCTCTGTAATTGTGTAAAATGAAATACAGGCCTAGTTTATAAAGCATAAAACCGTAGTCTTTTTTTTGTTTTTGTGGAACAGTATGCAACGATAAACCTTTTAAGCATTATATGTATGCTCATTGTCACATGATCACCCCAATGCATGTGTAGTTCAGTGTATAGTTTTCACCTCTGGACTGGAATATGATACTAAATTTTTAATCAATAATAATGTATATAAAAGAAAAGCAAAAAATAAATTGAAAAATAAATGTTCAATACTTTAGGGCCGGTAAGATTTTATAATATTTTTTAAATATTATGCTCACCAAGGCTATAGTTATCTGATTAAAAATACAGTAAAACGCAGTTAAATTGTGAAATATTATTACAATTTAAAATAACTGTTTTCTATTGAATATATTTAAAAATGTAATTTATTCCTATGATGCAAAACTGAATTTTCAGAATAATTACTCCAGTCTTCAGTGTCACTTGATCCTTCAGAAATCATTCTAATATGCTGATTTGATGCTCAGGAAACATTTCTGATTATTATCAATGCTGAAAACAGTTGTGCTGAATATTTTTGTGGAAACTATTATAGATTTTTTTCAGGCATAGAAAGTACATAATTCATTTAAAATCTTTTCTAAAATTGTAAATGTCTTTATTGTCACCTTTGATTAACTGAATGCATTCTTGTTGAATAAAGGTATTAATTTCTTTTAAATAGAATAATAATAATAATGTCAATTCTGGGTCTTATTCAAAGCTTATTAAGTGGGTTTTCAGCAGTAATCCAGCTTTCTTTTCACTGCATATGGGTCAAATAATCATTGTGTCTCTCTGCAGTGTTTCCTGCGTGGCGGGGGGCTGGAGAGGGTCATGGTTGGGGCTGGGCTCAGTGCGTGAGGTGGGAGGCCGGGGAAGGGGGCCCGCCCCGGGGTCTGGAGTGTCCGCTGTGGTGTGTCCTGTGTCGAGGAGGCAAGGAGAGACTCAAGCAGGCCTGTCAGAGAGGGAGGGGAGTGCTGCACCTGCCCGCAGACATGCTGAGCGTCAGACTTCCGCAGCTCTTTGACATCCACCAGGTGCCAAAGGTGAGGAAGGGAGTATCTGTTTGACGTACAGAGAGAGAGTTTGAAATTGATTTATTATTGCACTTCAGTTCCCCTTTAAGGGAAATCCCTGGGAAATCCTGCATGTACTTAAAAGTTACAGACCAAATGAGCGGGACCAGACGGTGCAAGCCACCGATTTCAGTTCTGCTAAACTCTTTCTTAAAGAAATTCCAGCACAGTTTCAGTAAGATTACATCACATGAATGACTTGCATTCAGAATATTAAAGCAATAGCTGACCTAAAAATGCAAGTTCTCACCTTAATGTTGTTCTAAACCCATATGACTTTCTTGTTTTAGTAGTGATAAATACTATAATAATATTTAAATAATATTAAAACAACACTGACTGTGACAGAATACTGATTTTACTAAAACTATATTTTATTATACTATTTTGTGCTTTTTAATTGACTATTAAGAGCAATATCATTAGATTTGTTTCATAATTGCTAGATTATTTAAACGGTAACAAAATAAATTAGTTTGATTGATTTCTGTGAGTAATTGAAATTGTTCGTTTCAAGGAATTCATTCAAAGTCTGATTCAACACTCACAAAGGTTCATGGATAATGTGACTTTTTCGTTTATTAAAGTGCCCCTATTATGCCATTTTTAAGGTTGCTAATATTGTTTTATGAGTCTCCTAAAACAGGTTTACATGCATGCTAGGTCAAAAACACGTTAGTTTTCTCAAAAAATTTATTTAATTTGACCTCATTTCTAAATGATTCGTAAACGACTCGTGCGAAGCAGTTCAAAGTATCAGTCTCTCTAAGCCCCTCCTTTCCGTGAGCCCTCACTGCTGTGATTGGTCAGATGGCGCAGTCCTTTGTGATTGGTCCAGAGCCGTAGAGAGATTGGCTCTGGATTGGTCTACAGCATATAGCGCGTGTCGGAAACGAAATGCCCATTGCCATGACGGAATGACAGCCCTGGAGACTTGTCAATACATAGAAAAGATGGTATCGATTGTACCTTACCAATTCGAGCC